TGACTATTGCTGTTACTGTGACTATTGCTGTTACTATGACTATTGCTGTTACTATGACTATTGCTGTTACTGTGACTATTGCTGTTACTATGACTATTGCTGTTACTATGACTATTGCTGGTACTGTGACTATTGCTGTTACTGTGACTATTGCTGTTACTATGACTTTTGCTGTTACTATGACTATTGCTGTTACTGTGACTATTGCTGTTACTATGACTATTGCTATTACTATGACTATTGCTGTTACTGTGACTATTGCTGTTACTGTGACTATTGCTGCTACTATGACTATTGCTGTTACGGTGACTTTTGCTGTTACTGTGACTATTGCTGTTACTGTGACTATTGCTGTTACTGTGACTATTGCTGTTACTATGAATATTGCTGTTACTATGACTCTTGCTGTTACTATGACTATTGCTGTTACTATGACTATTGCTGGTGCTGTGACTATTGCTGTTACTGTGACTATTGCTGTTACTATGACTATTGCTGTTACTATGACTATTGCTGTTACTATGACTATTGCTGTTACTGTGACTATTGCTGTTACTATGACTATTGCTGTTACTATGACTATTGCTGTTACTGTGACTATTGTTGTTACTGTGACTATTGCTGTTACTATGACTATTACTGTTACTATGACTATTGATGTTACTATGACTATTGCTGTTACTATGACTATTGATGTTACTGTGACTATTGCTGTTACTATGACTATTGCTGTTACTGTGATTATTGCTGTTACTATGACTATTGATGTTACTGTGCCTATTGCTGTTACTGTGACTATTGCTGTTGCTGTGACTATTGCTGTTACTATGACTATTGCTGTTACTATGACTATTGCTGTTACTGTGCCTATTGTTGTTACTGTGACTATTGTTGTTACTATGTCTATTGCTGTTAATGTGACTATTGCTGTTACTGTGACTATTGCTGTTACTGTGACTATTGCTGTTACTATGACTATTGATGTTACTGTGACTATTGCTGTTACTATGACTATTGCTGTTACTGTGACTATTGCTGTTACTATGACTATTGTTGTTACTGTCACTATTTGCTGTTACTATGACTATTGCTGTTACTGTGACTATTGCTGTTACTGTGAATATTGCTGTTACTGTGATTATTGCTGTTACTGTGACTATTGCTGTTACTATGACTATTGCTGTTACTGTGACTATTGCTGTTACTATGACTATTGCTGTTACTATGACTATTGCTGTTATTGTGACTATTGCTGTTACTATGACTATTGCTGTTACTGTGACTATTGCTGTTACTATGACTATTGGTGTTACTGTGACTATTGCTGTTACTACGACTATTGCTGTTACTGTGACTATTGCTGCTACTGTGACTATTGATGTTACTGTGACTATTGTTGTTACTATGACTATTGCAGTTACTGTGTCTATTGCTGTTACTATGACTATTGCTGTTACTGGGCAAATTGCTGTTACTGTGACTATTGCTGTTACTGCGACTATTGCTCTTACTGTGACTATTGCTGTTACTGTGCCTATTGCTGTTACTGTGACTATTGCTGTTACTGTACCTACCGCTGTTGCTATGACTATTGCTGTTATTATGCCTATTGCTGTTACTGTGACTATTGCTGTTACTGTGCCTATTGCTGTTACTATGACTATTGCTGTTTCTGTGCCTGTTGCTGTTACTATGACTATTGCTGTTACTTTGACTATTGCTGTTACTGTGACTATTGCTGTTTCTGTGACTATTGCTCTTACTGTGGCTATTGCTGTTACTTTGACTACTGTTGTTGCTGTGACTATTGCTGTTGCTGTGACTATTGCTGTTACTGTGACTATTGCTGTTACTATGACTATTGTTGTTACCGTGACTATTGCTGTTACTGTGACTATTGCTGTTACTGTGACTATTGCTGTTACTATGACTATTGTTGTTACTGTGACTATTGCTGTTACTGTGACTATTGCTGTTACTGTGACTATTGCTGTTACTATGACTATTGTTGTTACTGTGACTATTGCTGTTATTGTGGCTATTGCTCTTACTATGACTATTGCTGTTACTATGACTATTGCCGTTACTGTTACTATTGCTGTTACTGTGACTATTGCTGTTACTCTGACTATTTCTGTTGCTGTGACTGTTGTTGTTTCAATCACTATTTCTGTTGCTGTGACTATTGCTGTTACTATGACTATTGCTGTTACTATGACTATTGTTGTTACTGTGGCTATTGCTGTTACTGTGCCTATTGCTGTTACTGTGACTATTGCTGTTACTGTGACTATTGCTGTTACTGTGACTATTGTTGTTACTATTACTATTGCTGTTACTGTGCCTATTGCTGTTACTATGACTATTGCTGTTACTGTGCCTATTGTTGTTACTGTGACTGCTGCTGTAACAGTGACTATTGCTGTTACTGTGCCTATTGCTGTTACTGTGACTATTGTTGGTACTGTGAGTATTGCTGTTACTGCGTGTATTGCTGTTA